CGCGTTTGGGAATCGCGCCCTCCCAATCCGCGCGGCGGAAACCAGCGTCTGAAAGGAGCTGGCCGCGCGACTCCAGGCGGCCGCTACGCCGCCAGCGTAGGCGTATAATTGGGGGGGCCGCGCGGAAGAAGCCGGGGGAGATAGGGTACCCGCGCAGGACGCCTAGCGGCCGGAGCGGAGACCCAGTGGTCCAGCCTCGCCAGTCAGCGGATGGGGAAGCCGGGACTTGGCCAAGGTCACGCCGCGCCTCCGCGGCCGAGGATGAACCAAGGTCATGCCACCCGCCCCTGGGCCGTGCCTGTCGGTCTCGAAGGGTTTGAGGGGGAAGGTCTGAAGGAAAAGGCAGGATGTAGTTAAAGGCAACGGAAGCTGCAGCTGGAAACACCTGAGATTTGGAACTGCACGGAAACGGGGCGTGGGAGGCGTGTGCACTTTCGTTGATAACCTGAACCTCCGGATGGCTTATGGGCTGGTGCATGTCGCCCATTACGAAGAACAAATACTTATCCTGCAATCCTTTATTGATGCTAAAAGCAATTGCTTCCTCTTACGGTAAACGAGGGCCAGAGAGGAAGACGCGCGCGTGTGTGCGTGTGTTACACGCATAATGTAAATCATAAAACATCATCGTTTCTGGCAATAAATGAGGAGTGTGTGTTGTGGATGTCAAACAGATTCTCCAGAAAAAGATACACAGACAGAAGCTCTCCAGAAAGGAAAACTGGTGTATGACCTGTGAATGTTCTCGGCAACCCAGAACAAAGCTAGTACCATGCAGATGCCCTAAACGTACCAAAAATCCTGTGCAGTGTCTGTGAATTGCTTAATACCCTTTTTGGTTTTTTTACTTTTTTAATTTAATTTTTTGTTGAGATTGGGGGTGGGCCTCATTTTGTTGCCCAGGCTGGTCTGGAATTCGTGGCCTCAAAGCTATCCACCCTGGGGCTTCCAAAGCGCTGCGATTACGATTACTTGTGTGAGCCACTGTGGCCGGCTAATCACCCTTTTTGAATTTGCTTGTATTTAGCATAGTCAAAAAGATCTGGGTTTGAAATCAAATACACCTTGGTTGTAACCTCAATTACATTTTTTTAATGTTCATACCACCTGATTACATCATTTTTTAACTTCTGCAAAATAAAGATGATAAACCTACTTGGCCCTGGCACATAGTAGGCACTCAGGGCACCCCAAATGCTATTAATAGTTTGTTTGTGTATTAAATATTCCTTTCTTCAAGAAAAGAGAATTAGAGTCCAGTAAATGTTGAATGAATAGATAGCTGGAGGTTTTCTTTTGGTTTCTAATTCTTTACCCTGGCTTTTTTATGGCCATGATTTTGTTTGGGATTTTTTATTCGATTGTTTGTTTTTTGGAGACAGGGTCTTGCTGTGTCTATTAAGGTGGCACATAATCTCAGCTCAACTGCAGCCTAGACCTCGTGGGCTCAAGCAGTCCTCCTACCTCAGCCTCCCAAGTAACTGGGACCACAGGCACCTGTCATGCGGCCTGGAGCACTACCACATCCAGCCAACTTTTGTATTTTTTTGTAGAGACAGGGTTTCACCATGTTCCCCAGGCTGGCCTCGAACTCCTGGGCTCGAGCAGTCTGCCTGCCTCAGCCACCCAAAGTACTGGCGTTACAGGCATGAGCCACTGCTCACAGCCTATGGGCATGTTTAGTTTCAAGAGCCAAAAAGATTACCCCCAGATTCCTTGACTGAGTAATAATTACTTTGTCTTTGTTGAGGGAACATTAACCAAGGGATTCTGTCCTTTCCTTGAAGACAATGGGTAAGTAGTACGTTTAAATTTGTTTTAAAAAATTATACTTGGCTGGGTGCAGTGGCTCAAGCCTGTAATCTCAGCACTCTGGGAGGCCAAGGCGGGCGGATCATCTGAGGTCAGGAGTTCGAGACCAGCCTGACCAACACGGTGAAACCCTGTCTCTACCAAAAATACAAAAATCAGCTGGGTATGGTGGCGCATGCCTGTAATCCCAGCTACTCGGAAGGCTGAGGCAGGAGAGTCGGTTGAACCTGGGAGGCGGAGATTGCAGTGAGCCAAGATCATGCCATTGCACTCCAGCCTGGGCAACAGAGCGAAACTCCGTCTGGAAAAAAAAAATTATAGTTAACATTATTCCACTTAAATACCTCTCCAGAAGTCCTACAAGAAGCCAGGGCGTGGTAGTAGTTGCCTGTAAGTCCCAGCTACTCAGGAGGCTGAGACAGGGTGATCACTTGAGTCCAGGAGTTAAAAGCTACAGTGAGCCATGATCATGCCACTACTGCACTCCAGCCTGGGGGACAGAGTAAGACTCTGTTTCTTAAAAACAAAAAAAGTCACATGAGAAAACACCAATAGGTTATTTATTCATTTTGCTAAGCCAGAAACTTGGGAGGCATTGTCTTTTTTGTTTTCAGACAGAGTCTCACTCTGTCTCCCAGGCTAGAGTGCAGTGCAGTGGCACAACCTTGGCTCACTGCAACCTCCACCTCCCAGGTTCGAGCAATTCTCCTGCCTCAGCCTCCCCAAGTAACTGGGATTACAGGTGTGTGCCACTATGCCTGGCTGATTTTTGTATTTTTTTAGTAGACACGGGTTTTCACCATGTTGGCCAGGCTGGTCTCGAACTCCTGAGCTCAGGTAATCCACCCACCTCAGCCTCCCAAAGTGCTGGGTGTGAGCCACCACGCCCAGCCAACTGGGAGGCGTTGTTGACATGTTCTTTCCTACCATCCAGTTGATAATAAACTTCACTGCTTCTACCTGTCAACATCCTTGGGCCCAGCCCTTTCCTGCCTTGCCCTCTGTCATTACTTCATTGGGACTCTTCCCTCTGAACTGTGACCTTCCATCTGGTCATCTTGGCTCCTGTCCAGCCCTCCTCAGTCCCATCCACCCACTGCAGCAAGAGAAATCCTTCCCAAATGCAAATCTGATTAGGTCAAGCCCTTGATTAAAACACTGCAGTTGTTCCTCAGTGCTTTGAAGACAAAAATTAAAACCCTACCAGAAAATACAAGACTGCAGTAACTAGGTCCCTGCCGACCTCACCCCTCCCTTCATTTCCTATATTCTAGGCATTCAGAAATACCTACAGTTTCTTAAACCTTTAGAGAACCTTCCATATATGCTTTCTCTAGTGTCAAGAAGGCTTTTCTTCCAAGACCATCCCACACTCCATTGTCCTATCCCTTCCTTTCACTCAGAGAGAGGCCAAATCATATTTATCCTTCAAAACTCGAAAGTCACCTCCTCCGGAAAGCTCTCCCTGACTACCTCCGTTCATCCTAGTGGTCTGGGTTTGTCCTGATTAATTATATGGTTTTTCTTTTTTACCTTGAGACAAGGTCTTTCTCTGTTACCCAGGCTAGAGTGCAGTGGTGCAATTACGACACACTGCAGCTTCAACCCCTGGTCCCCCACCAGGCTCAAGTGATCCTCCCACCTCAGCCTCTCCAGTAGCTGGGACTGCGGGTACACATTACCATACCCACCTAATTCTTAAATTTTTTCATAGAGACAAGATTTCACTATGTTGCCCAGCTGGTGTTGAGCTCCTGGGCTGAAGCTCTCTGCCCACCTCAGCCTTCCATAGCACTGGGATTACAGGCATGAGCCACTGTGACTGGCCTTATCATACTATTTGTAGCATAGTATTGTCATTGTTTTCTTGATAATCTCCCCTACACTTGTGAAACTTCTTGAAAGCAGAGTCTGTGACTCACTTATCCTTGCTTAGTTCACCCAGCAGTTATCCCAGGGCTTAGCATAAAACAATTGAAAAAATGTTTTGTTAAAGAACAGATATTGGCTTGGTGCAGTGGCTCACACCTGTAATCCCAACTCTTTGGGAGCCCAAAGCAGGAAGATTGCTTGAAGCCAGGAGTTCAAGACCATCCTGGCCAATATAGTGAGACCCCCATCTCTATTTTAAAAAAAAAAAAGAAAAGGCCGGGTGCAGTGGCTGATGCCTGTAATCCCAGCACTTTGGGAGGCCAAGGCGGGCAGATCATGAGGTCAGGAGATCGAGACC